TTTCTTTTTTTTTTTTCTTCTTCTTCTTCTTCTTCTTCTTCTTCTTCTTCTTCGTCGGATTTTAATGGTGGTTGGCAACCAGCTTATAGGTCCTTTACCGCCACCTACTCGACTGAAAAAGGAAGGCTACACATGAATACGCAGAGAATACACACATTTTCCAAATTTGTTCAGAGTAGAATAAAATCTAATTTATGTGAACAAAACTGTTTAAAGTTTAGATTATTTAAGATCTAAACTTTGAAGAGCTGAACACAAGCTTTATTCACAGAGCCTTTACTCTCTTCTAAACAGTATTGTCCTGCATTAGAAAAGCATGCAGTCAGAACAACCAAAAGCTAATAATAATAACAGTGGCCAAGGGTCAAGAAAACACTAAATCTTCAAAGAAGAAAACAAGCCTGCTCGAAATTCATCAAAATCTCTTGTTCTCAGAAGTTGCAGTTATTAGTTTAATTAAACTTGTTCTGCTATTGATATGCATTGAATATAATATCAAATATATATCCATAGGGTGCCTGGTTAGCTCAGTCGGTAGAGCTGGTGACTCATATACAGAGTTGCTGCAGTGGCCTGGGTTCAAATCTGACCTGTAGCCTTTTGCTGCGTGTCATCCCCTCTCTCTCTTATCCCCCTTTCCTGTCAATCTTTAGCTGTCTTTATCCAATAAAGGCATGAAAAAGGCAACAAAAAAAATATAAATATATATATCCATAAAATATGACACTTAGTCAGGCGCCATCACTATTTGTCACTTTACTATAAACTACTAAATTTGTCCCTGTTAGGATCCTGTAGGAAGGATGACTTGATTTATCCAGAAATCAGATCTGATGGTCAATGGTCGGGTTGTTGACAGGTTTCTGCAGCATAGATATACAGTGGTTAAAAGTGAGCCAACTTCTTGAAACAAGTAAACACAAATTAGGCCCAATTAGGCTAACCCGCCTTGTGCTACAAGCATCTGCTCTGGAGCAGGTTAGCAGTGCTTGTGGTTAGCAGTGGTTACCATGATGATAATCTCTGGTTGTCAGTTAGCAGACTTCTCTCTTGCTGATCAAACACATATACACATAAAGGAAAATAAAATCCACATAAGGGCTTTCTTGCAAAACAGTTGGGTGACCTGGTAAATATGGAATGTTATGTTAAACATAATATTAATAATGAGGTCAGTGGCTACCTACCAAAACTCGTTTATGGAAATCAGTTCACAAAACACAGCCAATTATTTCATGAATAATAACCCACCTGAGTAGATTTCTGCAACAACCAGGATGTATTAGCTGCTAGTTTTGACACATCTTTCTATCAGCAGATAAATTACATTAATTGTGCACATGATGAACTATGCTGCTTCTGTCTTTTATTGGTTGTAGCTGTAAAGATGAACCTCTCTCCTAATTCTGATGGTTTGCCAGTAATCCACAGTACTTTAGACACTACAGTAATTTCAAACAGAAATCTTGGATTTACATAATGACAACAATGGACAACAGGTGTTGCAAAATCCACCAAAAACAGATCTATGATCTTGTAAATAATTGTTTGCATCTTAAAATTATTTATGAATGTCATTATTAATGAAGTATGATGGCCACTGAAACTCCACATATGCATTATTAAGTGTTAAATATATAAAGATTGAGAGCAGCAACAAACAACTATCTATTGATTTATGGTGTTACACTCCTTCTGCCTGTGTTGCTATGCTAGCTTCTTTGTGGTTTGTTTTCCATAGCTGGTCTTCTCCGTGTGCAGCTGAGTAGGGTGACTGAAACTGCTGTTTTTATCATCTACTTTAGTGAATTAAGAATTTATTTCAACCAAACCAGAGTTGTAGATTGTTGGAACAATGGAAAGACTAACAAAGTTGGCTTTGGTGAGTTTTATTTTCTCTGTCCACTTTGAATTAAATTAGGATGTTACAATGATACACAGGGTAAAATTACCATTTGTTTCTATGGAGCCTGGTAGAGAGGATATTGATATTATGGCTGCCCCTGGTTAAACAAAAGGTCCATGTCTGTAGGGATCCTATCCATAGTGCTGTCAGACACTTAGAATAACAATCTGAGCCTGTCAGTGGCAAAACAACTTTTAGTGGATATACAAAGACTTATTTTGTTGAGTTTTATTTTGTTTCTCTTCCCATTGAGATGCTGGTTCTCTAGTGCGACATATGGTATTTTTAACACTACAAAGTGACTGATAGATTCACTGACATGAACTGTTTCTAAATGTGTACTGCAGCCTTGTCTATGTGCCTGTTTTACTAACTGCTTCTCTGTATTTAATGATGCTGAATCTTGTTTTTGGTGCACTCAAGACAACTTTCCACACAGGTGGAGAATAAAAATATATTTAATCGTCCTCGCCTGCATTGTAATTACTGTCTTTTCTACTGAATGTATTTGTAGCTTCATTAATTTAGTTTCTTTGCACAATAAACAACAAAACACTTAGACCATATGAAGGAAACAATCATATAAATAAGAGAGAAAAAAAAATGTAAATGAATCCAGCACATTTTAAAGCTCAGCTCAATATGATGAAATAATGCTATTTCATCCTGCTTCTATCAACAATGAGTGTATTGCTGTTCATGTTAATTTAATTATGTTCCAAATTCTATCAATGACATCCCAGTCTTTGTAACTTTGTAACAGCCAGTTATTGATTGACGTCTGCTCATTCAGACAAAGCAACAACAGCCATGGGCGGAGTAGGTGGGCTGGCTTCTGGAGCTCCAGCCCCCAAATGTTTTCTCATAAGCCCTTTTTTTAAAAGCTTTTCCCCTCAGTGTCTCTGCCTGGACTAGAAAATCAGTGGAACTGCTGGGGAAATATCACGGTAAATGGACTGTCCTTTGAGTAGTCTTCCGACCACTTAAAGCGCCTTTACACTCCATGCCACAATCGCTCTTTCCCATCATTTGCCTGTATATAAATAGTTAATAGAAATAGTAATCTTTGCCTTTGTTTAGGTGGCAGGAGTAAAAACACTTATTGTGGTTTCAGAATGATGGAGATGTACAGGATGATTTTTTTCTTGGGCAACTATCATGTGTTTGCCAAGGGATGTACAGATTTTAGGGATCTCTCAACTGGCTTTAAAAATAATGCATATAGCTGCTATAAATTAGAAAGCCTGAGCCCTGAATGTTTACAGCTCTGGCGCCCCCTCTAGCCAATTGTTGTCCATGGTTACATTAAATATTTTGAGTGTATTTATTCATGTGTTATTAAGGCTTCTATTTAGTGAATTTATAACTCTTTAGGTCTCCAAAGGATATTTTAATTTCCCATAATATTAACTCTTCATAGGGTCCTATAGAAGGTGTAAAGGCTCGACAGAATCCTGTGTGACCTGTGGATGAGTTTTATCATGAGGTGGTGGATCAGATTAGTAGGAAGAAAAGCGGAGATCTGATGTTTGTTTGACTTTGGTGTGCAAAAGTATACTCTTTATTCTTATTATATATCCAACTTTATTTTGCCCCAACCCCTCCCCTCCACCCAGCCCCCACAACCGGTGGCATTCCCATGTCACCAGTTACTGTCACTGTTACAATAGCCAATCAGAGCTCACCTGCAGAAAGAAGGCAACCAAACAAAGAAGAGCAGAAAAAAGGGTTACTTTCAGTTTGTTTTTTCATGTTAAATAGTAATAAATACATTGAGATGCAGTGGTTCTTACTTTATCCTTTTCTCTTAAGCAGAAGGGTTAAAAAGTTTTTTTTATTTCTGTTTCTATTTCTTTTTATTTCTTTATTGATCTGTGTTGGATCTTTAGCAGCAATCCGGACCAGTTGTCATGGTGATTAGCAGCACAGAGAGGAGGAGCTGTCTGGAGGAGAAACACAACAGGAGGAGGAGAAGAAGAAGAGAGCAGGGAGGTGGGGAGGATAAGGAGGAGAAGGAGATCCCTATGAGCGCCAGGAAGGCATCAGTGTCCTGTCACCTTCTCCT